AAATTTTCCATCTGTTGTGAGACTTCTTTTCCTGGGGATGCTAAGCAATGCTTATTCCCTATTAAGGTACTAGTGTCAAGCCAATGTTATGAATTTATTGAACTTACCAGATATATGAGGGGTAGCTGAGGTGTATATATGACCTGAGGGTATGCACACTGGAAAGCCTTAACCCAGCATGGGTCATGCCTTCTCTTCCTAGTCTTCCCCAGATTGCATACTTTAGCCCTCCCCAAATCCAGGGGGCCATGTGTGATTAGAGTCAAATTACATACAGTTGGCTAGGAAGACTGGCTGGATACTCCTGTGAGGGTCCAATGACCCTGCTTGGCTCTCCTTTAATGAATGAGCACAACCCTCAACAAGCCCAATTGTGATGATGTTTAGCGATCAGGCCCAGCTGAAGTCATGATGATGGCAGTTATTTTGTGCAGAAGGCACTGCTGTATAGCATCATCTTATTAAAAGGACCTGGAATTTTAAAAGGATTTGGTGCTAGGATGCACATATGAGGGAGAGCATACGTCATCTGTGTTATTTCACTTAGTAGAACAGTTTCTAGATCCATCCATTTACCTTCATATTTCATTATTTCATCTTTCTTTACTGCTGAATAGAACTCCATTATGTAAATACACCACATTTTTGTTAACCACTCATCAGTTAAGAGACACTTAGGTTGCTTCCATCTCTTAGTTATTGTGAAAAGAGCAGCAACAAACATGGTTGTACAAGTATCTCTACAATAGGATGAGTCCTTTGGGCATATGCCAAGGAGTGGTATAACCGGGTCATATGGTAGGTTCATTCTTAATTTTTTTTTTTTTTTGTTCTTTTTGAGACAGGGTCTCCCTGTAGCCCCAGCTGTCCTGGAACTCACTATGTAGACCAGGTTGGCCTTGAACTCACAGAGATCTGCCTGCCTCTGCCTCCCCAGTGCTGAGATCAAAGGTGTGCTCATTCTTAGTTTTTTAAGAGTTCTCCACGTTGTTTTCAATAGAGGTTGCACGAGTTTGCAATCCCACCAACAGTAAATGATCGTTCCCCTTTCTCCACATCCTCACCAGTATTTGGTATCATTTGTTCTCTTGATCCTAGCCAGTCTGATTGGGGTAAGATGATTCCTTAGGGTAGTTTTAATTTGCCATTTCCCTAATTACTAATGATGCCGAACACTTTTTGAGACATTTCTTAGCCATCTTTATTTCTTCCTTGGAGAACTCTCTGTTTAGCTCTTTAGCCCATCTTTTCATTGGGTCATTTGGTTTCTTGCTTGTTTTTTGAGTTCTTTATATATTCTGGAAGTTAAACCTCTGTCAGATGTGTCATTGGTGAGCATTTCTTCCCATTCTGTGGGTTTTTTTCTTCACTTTTTTGTTTAATGAAGTCCCACTTGTTGATTGCTGACCTTAATTCTGAGCAACTTCTGTCCAATTTAGAAAATCCTTTCCTACACCTTGTGGCCCTAATTCCCTCTGGGTCTCCTGCGCTATCAGACAAACCATATATTTATGTGTATTTATTAACTTACAAAGGAATGAGAACCCAGTGCCTAGCCCCGCGCCTCTGGCAGCGCCACTCAGAGCCCACATATCAGATTGCGCCACAACTACCATAGTCCCTTATAGCATTCGCTCACACCTCAGGGGCCAGCGATCTCACCCCAGGTCCACAAGAGTCAGTCCATTCTGTCTTTGAGCTCTGCGGCTGGCTGCGTGTTCCCCATGCCATGCGTGCCACCTGTGGCTCCCAGCAGCCCCTTCGTAGTCTGCATTCTGCATCAGGCCCCGCCCATTGGAGGAACCAGCCAACTGGGAGACACTCCACCCCTTTCCTCCACTCTTACAATCTTCCCATCCATCTTCTGCTAAAGTCCCTGAGCCTTGGAGGGGGTGATAGATATAGGGCAATGGCGAGATAGTGGCTTCTTGAGCCTCCCCATTAGTCATCTTTAGGCCTTGGCCACTGATCTATCTCAGTGGTGTTTCTTCTACTATAAAGACAAATGGAAGGAAGTAGATACATTTAAACAAACATGAATGTAAATACAGGTGCCTAGAAGATATCCCAGTAGGTATACTATATTTATTAAACAGTGTGCTGGCCTGGTCTACAGCACCAGATGTGTGTTCCACCCCTAGGAGCGGGCCTTATCCAATTAGAAATTTGTCAGTTGTACATGTGTTGGTTGAGCCATTATTGCATTTGCAGGCATTGCTTGGCATGTCCATAGTGTGCAGCACACAGGGTCCATTGTTGAGTAGAATCATAGGGGATCCTTTTTTCCCCAACCAGCCTCCTGACAATATGAACATCATCCATCCAATGGCACTGTTTTGGCTTAGTCTCAGTTCCATCTCTTCTTCTTCTCCCGTGCTCACAACATGCAGTGTCTTCAGCAACATGGCCCTACTGACCTTTCTAGTGTACAACTGATATTAATGGTAATAGCCTTGGTGAATTGGAGGACCTCTAGGATCTCTCTCTGACCAACAGCTCATAGAGGGGGCAACCCACCCC